CCAGAAATTAAGTATGGAAAAGGTCAATAAATGTACATCAGTGTTATTGTTTAAAGGCCTACATATACATTTCTATCTTCAGTGGATCTGTGAAAAAGTATGCATGATATTATTACGTAAACAAGAAAACTTCAAGAAATCTCATCGTATGCCAGGAGGCCAAATACACTGATCGACCACAACATTAAAGCTACTGGCAGGTGAAGTAAATAACATTGATCATCATGACACTGGGAGTGCAGGCACCAGACGTAATTCTCAGCATGTCTCCGCCCACTTCTAACCTAAGCAGAGGTCCTGTCAGCCATACGGTCGTCCTCAAATGTATTCATACCCTCCCATTAGAGAAGGAAAAAAACAGCTGTCATTGAAAAAGGTTGAAATTGATAAAAGTAATAATAAATAAAAATGTAATAAAAATCATAACATTGCTTTGAATTGTGGTAAAACAGAACTAATTTTAAAAAAAAAAAAACCCAAGCAAACAAGCATGATGGGACTTGTAAACTAACATTTTGTTGAACACCCCTTTGAGGCGACCATTTTAATCAAGTGTCTTCTGTAACTCTCAATCCGACTTCTGATCTGTTGACAGGTATTTTCATTTGGCCCGCTGCTCATCAGCAAAGTGCTCTAACTTAGCCGGGACAGTTTTTTTTTTGGTTGTTTGTTTTTGTTAATAAATTATTTTCAACCACAATTCAAAAGCAATGTCTTATTTTACCAAATTATAATTCAGCATTTTTTTTATTTATTATCACTTTTTTAGTTTCTAGTTATTTGAGTGACTATTGTGAATTTTGTCTTTTCTTTCATGGAAGGGTATGAATACATTTGAGGATGAGCGTACTTGAAAACACATTTTAGATATTTGTATTATATCGTAGTTATTATAAGGTATACACCACTCAGACATAACATTAAAACCACTGACCAGTGAAGTCAATGCCACTCATGATCTTGTTACAATGCAAAGTTCTTCTCAGAAACTTTTGCATTCATGCAGATGTTATGTTGACATATACCACCTAACTGAATACTGTGGCAGACCGATCACATCCCCTTTTGCAAACACGGTGCCACAGCACAAAAATGCTCAGGAACAGATGAAGGAACACAACAAAGAGTCCAAGGTGGGAACCTGGCCTCCTAACTCCCCCACAGGATGTGCCAGGACAAACCTCACACATAGAAGTCCCACCCTGCAGGACCCAAAGGATCCACAGCCAACATCCTGGTGTCAGACAGCTCACGACACCCTCAGAGGCCCATGTTCATGCGCTGATGCCTCTGAGCTGTTTTGGTGGCTCCAGAAGAGCCTGTACATTATGCAGCTAGTTCTGATGTTGCGGCTGATTGGTGTATTTTTTCAGGACAGGATTTTCCTATCACTGTATTAATACCTTAATTCATGGAAATCTTAAATACCATGACACCCTGACATGCTGGCAATATTTACCAGTCTCCATACTTTCATCATTATCCACAGGCGTCCTTTTATTGAACCCGACTTAACAAGCTTTACTTCAACAGCTCACCTCATCAGTGCTGCAGCAGAGGATAAAGATACAATAGCACCCACTCCAGCTTCCTACGCTACTGCACTCTGCTGCCACAGCCAAGGACTCTGACACAGCATCCAAACTCCACAGCGCACTGGGCTGGGTGTGTGTCAGAACAGTGTGAAGTATGTACATGGGCGAAAGAGTGTGTGAATGAGACAGAAAGACAAGAACAATGGAATTTGAGTGAGTGTGAGTGTAAGTGTGTGTGTGTCTGTGCGTGTGTGCCTGTGTGTGTGTGTGTGTGTGTGTGTGTGTGTGTGTGTGTGTGTGTGTTGGAGGGTGGGGTCACAGACAGGTGAAAACAATGATAAACAGCATGAAATAACAATACTTCAAAGCTTGGAGGACTCTTCCTCTTCGAGAGGTCCTAAACCTTCAGGACAAGCAGAGGCATGATAGGTTTGGAGGGGGCTTATGTGTACAGCCAGCCAGGCAAGGAACAAAGCTCACACTAAACATGTACTTGAATTTCTCTCTACCAGACTCACACTGGAAAAAAACCCTGCCCTTCATGCAGCTCACCATAGAACAGGGCTCAGTAATCAAATTAATGTAAACCCGATCGGTTTGCTGGAATACTGTCAGGAAGACCAGTGCTGTGCTGCTGCACTGTCTCACGTATGGATCGATGCTTTATAAGAATGCATCAGTTTGAAACTTCAAGCCATGGGTTTGCAAGATGTAGCAAATGCTGAGTTCTTAATTTTCCTCGGTGTTTAGCATCAGACTATTCATAGTATGCAGTTCTTTAAACCAGAATGAAAGTTCTTAACTAGTTCTTAACTCCATCCTCCAGCATCTGGACCCTGCAGCAACCTACGCCCAGATCCTTTTTGTGGATTTCAGCTCTGCTTTTAATACGATCATCCCCACTCTGCAGCAGGACCAGCTCCCCCAGCTGCAGGTGCCTGAGTCCACGTGCAGGTGGATTACTCACGTCTTGTCAAACAGCAGGCAGCAGAAGCTGAAAAACCACATCGTGGACTCCTGAACCATGAGCACCAGATCACCACAAGGCTGCATCCTTTCACCCCCGATCTTTTCCCTTTATACCAACAGCTCACCTCCAGTCACAAGTCTGTCATCAACCCAGTGAACAATGTACTGCTGCTTCCTGGGCACCATCACCACCCAGAACCTCAAGCTGGACCTGAACATCAGCTGAAGAAGTTCAACCTGCCAAATACAATGATGGTTCACTTCTACACCGCCATCATTGAGTCCATCATCACCTCCTCCATCACCCTGTGGTAGCTGCTGCCACTACCAAGGACAAGAACAGACTGCAGCGCATCATCATCAGCTGAAAAGGTGACCGGCTGTAATCTCCTGACCCTCCAGGACCTTAAACCGTGCTGGGAAGATTGCAGTTGACACCCTGGACATAAACTGTCCGAGCCCCTCCTGTCTGAACCTCACGACACAGAAACATCTTTTTTACTCCAGCAGTGGGCCTCTTCAACAAGACCAGAGACCCCCGGTGACTCTGCCCCTCTCCCCCATGATAGACATTAACTCCATGCGTTACATTAAGGCACAGCTTTAAATAGGATTAGCATTACTATTATCCTCTTGCACATTTCACCTTCTTGTTTAAATTCCATACTATGTAACCTTGTATATTCTCAGGTGACTAATTTGCACATTCCTCCATAATGGAAATATTTCCATTACTTTCTGTGATTTACAAATCCATGATTACACTTGCTGCTAATTGGCTTATAACACTGCTTTTTTTTTCTTTTTTTTAAATTTCATTTTATTTTTATCAGGGAGGTTATACATAGTCCAACATTCATACCAAGTTCAAATCATTCAAATATTACACAAATATATATGTACATATATATCATGTATAATATCGCCCAGTAGTCTACAACATGTTTCAATGATATTAACTTGAAACTACTTGAGCTACTGCTCTCCCTTTCATTTTTAATTACATTCCTGATCCAACAAACACATGAACAAAGAGGCTGTCACTCTCACTCATCCACTCATAAAGACACACTCACAACACAATCTATTTGGTCATCTGTAGAATCAATATTTTACAGAAGGGTGATTAAAATAAGTCAGGTCTCCATGGACCCATATACACGACCCATTTTGCCCACCATCTCACAAATTTCTCTGATTGTATCTTTATAGAAAACGCCAATCTTTCCATAATGTAAATGTCATGTCTAATTTTATGCCAGTCATCTAATGTTAGAGCATCTGGTTGTAACCACTTCTTAGTCAAGGCCTTCTTCCCTCCCACAACTAATATTCTCATTAAGTATTTGTCCGCTGCAGACTGAGCGTGCAGAACTGCAGCTCCCAAATACAGTGTGAAAACACTGAATGGAATAATTATGTGAAATACAGTTTCCAAACATTTATGAACTTCTCGCCAAAAAGATGTGAGTTTCGGGCAACCCCAGAATATGTGGCAATATAACCCTGCTTCGTCTTTATGTTGTTACACTTAAAACCTACGACTGGCAGCACTATTGAATCTATATGCTGCTCTTTACTGATATGCACTACACACCAAGTCAAACTCCTTGAATGTGAAAACCTTCTTGGGAATGAAGCCTGTCTGATTGTGAGTTAACTTTTAGAACAATGTAGAACTTGTGACTGATGTGCACTGCTGGATGAACCCTCATCATCTTCTTGGTGTGGGAGACAGGCTGGGTGGGAGGGGACATGTGCAGCCTGGTAGGTGTTTAGGGCCATGGGGTTCCCAAAATAGGTATGACTTTTTCATTGGGAAAGGTAAGAGGGTGTGTGTGTGGCTGTTTGTGGTGTGTCTGAGCCCCACCGTGGTGCTCACCCCACCCTGCAGCGGTAGACCTGCCCTCAGCTCAGTCACACCGGCTCATCTGCATTAAAAAGTTGGGCAGCCCTCTGGCCTAAAATCTGACTGTCAACTCTGGGTATCAGCTTTGTGATCTAGCTTCACAGCTAGCCTCTTCATCAAATCACACAGGACAAGACAGCTAACGACACAGCGGGCAAACTGAATAAACACAGCTCATTTGTGTGTCAACTCAGGCTGATAAATATCACGGCAAACGCGGAGGTCACGGTCAGTGGGAGAGGAAGCGTCCCCCCGCAGGGACGGAGACATAGCGGACTGGTGCTGCTGTGGCCCCGGCGGATGGACGGGAGCCAGGGCTAGCCTGCTGCTGCTGCTGCTAACTTAGCCTGGTTAGCTTAGCTCTGTTGTCTGGCGCAGCTTGGAAAGCGGCTCCAACTCTAAACAGCAACTTCCACCGTCTGGCCCAAAGTCAGACCCCCACACCGGACAGCCTGAGCAGCGTTTAGCCCCAGCAGCTAGCAAGAGCAGAACATTCCTCCAGCCGCCTACGACCACAACATTATGCATTTAAAAAAAAAACACACCAGTGGACAGAAATAACTAAGAAAATGTCGCGGGCTTCCTACCTGTAAATGCAGTCGCTAACGTGCTAAGCCGCCGTGTCAGCTTGTTTAAAGTCTGTGATGTTGTGTTGCTAGACGTCAAGTCCAACTGCACTACAGTTGTTTCCAGGCTGGGAAGCAAAATAAAGCCCAGCTGTCCTACTGTACGGTACATGCTGACAGCCGGCCTGTCGGCGAGGCTTTGGCGACACCTGCAGGGCGCAGGATGCAGCGCAGCCACAGCTCCAGAGTGAGCAGCCTGGTGCTCCAGAGGTCACACAGGTCAGCAGCAGCAGACCTGCAGCGGCAGACCTGCATCTCCACCTCAGTGTCCTAGTGCAGGGCTTCTGAGAAACATCTTGGCTCTTCACACCTGTTCAAACACACTTAAGCACAGCAGATAGTATTGCAAGTAAGTGAGGCTTCCTTTCAGTATTATCGTTCAATAAACCAGGGGTACGGGGCGCCGCCATAGCTCACGTGGTTGAGCTGGCGTCCCATGTACAGGGACTAAAGTCCCCGATGCAGTGGTAGTGAGTTTGAGTCCGGCTCATGACACTTTGCTGCAGGTCCTTCCCCCATTCTTCTCGCCCACTTTCCTGTCTCTCTTGTCACTATACTTACAATCTAATAAATCTACAAAAGGCCAAATAAACCAGGGGGGCTTCACAGGTGTACCAAAAATACAAGACTAAAAATATACCAAGAGTTTCAGGCAGCAGCTAAAAATTAGACAAACAAAATATACCCACAGGACTGAAAACATCAATAAATAAGCCTGTCTACACATTTAAGCTTTTCAAAAAAAAAAAAAAAAAAAAACTAACTGTAATTCCACTTCGTCCTAATCCTGGATCATAGTAAGTTCACCTGTCAGATCTGCAGGGTCTTGGTTGCAGAATTTAAAAGATCTGAATGTAAAATAGAGTCAGAAACAGTACAGGTTTTAAAGGTAATATTACAGTCTTTACTGAACAAACTAAACACAAAGATGTGTTCTGCTGTGGCAGCCCACTGTTTTCATGTGGTGACAGTGGGTGGAATTCATGAGAGGCAGGACGGTCGCTCTCACTTCATCTTGAAAACTGCCAGCAACTGAATGCAGCACACTTTGTGTTTGTCCTCAGCTTTTCATTTGCAGTTTTGTATGTTTTAATGTTTAACAACTTGCTTTATTGTAGCTATTGCTTTTATGAAGTCAGTGAAGCCAGACTTTATTTTGGGGAGTCTAGCTTATTCTGAGAAAATTCTGATTTCTAAAGTTTTAAATAGGCTTGTCTTGGGTTAGCATAGAAACACCAACTAGAACTGTTTTCTCCAGCATTTTAACCCAAAGTTCATCTTCACTGCTGCTTTATTAGCAGTTTTGTGGGTAATTTATATAAAATGCATGTCACATCCTCACATGGCATGCTTAGTTGTGCAGTTAATACCTTAAGTCGTGTTTTATATCAGGATGTGTGCTTGTTAATGCAGTATCATTAAAAAAAAAATATTTTTTTAAAATAATTTTTCTTTAAATAAATAATCAAAAGCACATTAAGTGGCAGCTAATCTTGCCCAATGTGAAGGTCGTTATGTCACTTGTCCAAACAAATTAACAATCCAACTACTAGAGAGCTCAAGTTTCTGACAACATATATATATATTGTTTTCCTATCAATTAACTTAACTTGGCTGGAGTTCCGTTTAATACACCAAAAAGGGAAACTATTTTTGAAACACTCATTTGTTCTCATTGGACCATCCTGGCTGAAGTGGTTAAAAACATAAATTACAGAAAAAAACCAAGCAACATTTATAGCTAGATGGATACAGCTATACACCTATCTCTGTCTCTCTCTATTTTTTAAAAAAATCAGAATCAGAAATAAACAGGCTGATGTGATGTTATCACACTGGATCTGTCACATTAACTATTTTTACTCTGAGCCTCAGAGGCACACAGAAGCAGAAGTCTACCCATCAACCATATTTCTTCTATAAATCACATTTTTTCCAGTAAAAAATCCTCTATAGTAATGTGGGTAAAAACTTGAAAGCAAAACTACTTATCACAAAACTTTATTTAAAATGTATACATACAACAATATATTACATAATATACTATTTCAAGCATGTGCAAATTGTAAGTCAACATGTGTCAGGATGGTTGTCGAGAGCTACCAATGACTGCATACTGCCTTCATATTAAAAACTGCTACACAATCAGAAAAATAATGCTAAACACTAGTGTTTTTCCCAATGTGCTGTCACAATGTGTGGCATCTAACAGGTTAACAACACATCCTTGATGAAGTTTACATACATTTTCCTGTGCCATTCCAGTTCCAAAACTGATTATGAAAGTGGATCCAATACCCCCAAGCAATTTTGGCCATTTGCCCCAGAGCCAAAAGAGGAAATGGGGAGCTAATTTTCTGTGACTGGAACAGTGATTAACACCGTTTTGCCATGGTAACCATACTAAGCAGGCCTGGCAAGCTGCCGAACAAAAACCCCACCAGAGGAAACTCTTTTAGCATGTAATAACAATCATTAACCATCCTAATGTTGCTGTGAGCTGCCCTGATCATGACTAAATTAAGTACATCTGGACCGTTTGGAACGAATCTTGGAGGTTGCTGGGAAGTCAACACATGGTGCTGACAAAGGCCACTGTGCAGGTGGGCTCTGCATGATGAGGAGCCATCTCCATAGAAACTGCACCAGTACAGACGGTTAGGAAAATCTTTTGAAACGTAGACAGACCTAGAATAGTAATTTTAAAATTAAGCGACTCCAGAAAAACAGAATCCTTAAACCTCTTGTGGTCATTTTACAATCAGGAGTTGACGACAGAAATTACTGCATCAGGCTTTGAGACAAAGGGCTTCTTTGTCAGATTTCAACTACGTAACGTGGCAAAAAGGCCACAGTGTTGCTTTTCCAAAATCAAAATCCCAGCAGCCATGTTACCAAACAAGAGACAAAGGCATTCCTGTATGACCAACTCCAAGTAATCCCCAATGAATCTCAATTGGTACTGCTACTGTCTGACAGGGGCCATGGCAACAACAATGCTGCCTTGTGACATGACTCAGGGATAAAGCAAATACCAGATCCAGAGTCAAGTGACAAAAATCATTAGCTCTCTGAAATGCCAGAGCAGTGCAGACTAATTGAGAGCCAGTCAGACTCAAACCATTTGGCTTAAAGTACAAACAGGCACAATCATTTTTCATGGGCCTGCTGAGGACACCTGCGCCTTCTCCAGAGGCATATGGGGCTGTGTTGGCTGCAGAGTCTCAGTCTACATCTCCAAATATGACAACTAGGAAGGATTTATATCCAGGGTTTGCTTTTTTTTGATCCCTAGCAGTTTGTCTTTTCTTCTTAGCGTCTCTCATCTGTCCCATGATGAATAGTGGAGAGACGAGCATTCACCCAAAACCAGGCAGCATGAGGAGGTGGCGTAGGATGGTAGATGGTGAATTCAAGGCACTGCCTCACCGGTCAGCTGAATAACAAGATTTCCACTTGTTTCTGACTGGATGAGCAGCAAGCCAGCGTGTCTGCCTGCAGTGCTGGGCTTGAACTGGACGGGTAGCTTCAGATAGTGCTGTGATCTAATGGGTAGGAAAGAAGAATGGCGGTTAATAGACAATTAAATAGGCTTGAAAGGTTAGAACATGAATACATGAGACGTGCACAGGCCAAAATACACATGCTGCTTCTTTATAAATGACACTCAGGACTGGACTGTACAAGTCGAGACAGACTGTGGCAAAAATACTATCTCAACTCTCTTCAGCTCTAATCCATGTACACCCAAAATGTTCACTGACAAAAATGTAGTAAAGGGGTATCGTGGGTGCATTTGTCAAATCTAAGAATTTGTTGCTTTTCTTTGTCTTACATGGCTGTGAACTGAACATTTCTGGATTCTGGACAGTTAGTCCAGACTAAATGGGGCGTCTCATGACTGGGGATCTTGGAAACTGTGATGGGCATTTTTTTAAAAACTGTTGTCTAATGTTGGACAGAATAATCAATAACGGAAATAATTACAAGCTGCCGCCCTAATAATAATAGCTCCTAAAAATACCATTAATTATTCATTCACCACCTTGACATAGACAAGCGGTAAAAATTGATGGAGGGATTAGCCAATTGAAAGTACAATTAATTTAAGGTCTATGCATAAATTTTACATTAAGTAAGAGGAATTGTAAAATGGCACTGGCTGTATTCCAGTTGTTTTTTTCCCCTCAAATTTTGAATACAGAAGGATTTTCAAAGTAAATGCTACCTACAGTTGGACTGAAAAAATATTTAAGACGTAAAATATATTGAGCACTTTTGAATACATAAAAAGGGACCCTGAAATCACTGCTTTGTGAGACTGAAAGGGACCTACAGGTACCCTGCGAATGCCACAACATGCTGGGAACACCACACAGCCATCACATATCCACACACTGCAGGACTCACACTACACCGACTGCAGAGCTGGGCCAGGTTCAGGTTGTGGCAACACATGACATACAGCTGCCATGCCATACAATAGTATGTGTGACACTGCTTTATTTTTTTTTGTGGAGGAAATCAGTGAATTTCAATTTTCTTAGCAGCATGACCTCTTCTCATAAAGAGAAAAAAAAAACGTTTTTTTTTTTGTTTGTTTTTTTGAAATACCCCCCTTCATGTACATTGTTTTTTTCTTTTTCAAAAATACAAAGTACATGTGCCCATTCTGAACACAGTCCCTCATCAGCACAGTACAACAACTAGTACCTGTGGCCAGGCAGCACCTCCCCAAGGCCTTAGTGAGGCACAACATCAGTGCTCCTCGAGGCCTCAAGTGTCTCCCGTATATAGTAACATCATCTTCCAGGTCCCAGTGTCTCACAAGACCTCCCACAGTGAGCATTCACAATAGGAAAATTACATTATACGGTCTCCAAGTTACATCATGAAGCACGTTTTAAATAAACTTAGTTACCAAGTGTCATGAAACAAATAATCACAAAAACCCTAAAGTGGAAGTAACGTCAATAAGAACAAGTGGAAGGCAGTGACTATAAAGATGACTAAAAGCCTGGTATGTCCAGCTACAACTGAAAGAGCAGAATGGAGAGTTTCTGTTAGGGATAATGACCA